CCTGTGTCATAGCTTCACATTTTCAAATGGTTACATCGTAGTACTTGTATATCATCAGACCCTTAGTCTTGCCGTTTGGCTCACTCACCATCTGACCCTGTGACCAGAGTTGTCCTGGTCTCTGCACTGACCAGCTGACTGTGTGGTCCACTCACCACACATTCTGCTGGACAAAGACCCCTCCTAGTGCTCTCAGCCATGTGCTGCCCTCGTGTGGCAGTCAAGCTGAACTGAGGAAGGAGCCCAGGAATCCACTATGTCCACTCTGCACCCTTGTGCTTAGGGACTTCCTGGCCTCAGTGTCCTCTTTTGAAAAGAGTAAAAACAGGGCTGTCCAGCACAGAATGGACCACTCTGTGAACTGAAGAAGCATCAGTATTGGCTTTCATCATAAGGAACGCACCACGTAGTGTGAACTGGGGAAGCATTAGTATTGGCTTTCATCATAAGGAACGCACCACGTAGTGTGAACTGGGGAAGCATTAGTATTGGCTTTCATCATAAGGAACGCACCACGTAGTGTGAACTGGGGAAGCATTAGTATTGGCTTTGGTTGTCATCATAAGGAATGCACCACAGGAATGAATGATGTAATGGTGGGAAACTATGAGTTTGTGTGAGGTTAGATGTGAACGCTCTATACTTGCTGCATGACGTCTCAGTAAACCTAAAATTGCTCTAAAAAGTAAAGTATGAGAAAAATAAAAGGCAAAAGAGGTCTGGACACAGTGTTGCCGTGTGACTGAGATAAAGCCAGGGTCTCAGCAAGTGCTTCATAAGCCATGAGGAGTAAGGAGGCTGGACCGGCAGGCAGGAGTGTGAGCCTGGTGGGTGCTGGGGCCCCGATGCTGTCTGCCTCACCGTGTGGCTGTCCGTGTGACCAGGTGTGTTGAGGGTGAGCACAGGGCTGGGCTGGTGTTCAGGTGGCCCCAGGGGAAGGCTACCTGCTGGCCCAGCTGGCTCCCTCCCCAAGTGAGCGTGTCAGTCTCTGCAGGTGCTTCTTACCTGATAAACTGAAGTTGGACTGGTGGAGGTTTCTAATGGGTGGAGGCTGGTGCTTGGAGGGCGAGGACTTGGCTGACGGAGCAGGGGTTGCATATTTGGGTGTGGCCGGCACCTCATACACTGGGCCATCGTACATGCCTCTGGAGACACCGTGCAACCCAGACACCTGCAGGGTGGGCAAGATGCAGCAAATCCTCCTGTTCGGATAGGCTCAGGAGTCGTGCGAGCAAGAGTGACCCAAGGTGGGTTTGCACACACACACAGACACATATATGTACATGACACCACACACACGACATGTCACATACACGATCCACACACAAAACACACATGAATCACAACCACACATACACAACACTACACATAACAGATAAATACAATGTACCATACCATATACACACAATACACACCATACATCACACACAAATGTAGGATTCACACACATGACATACACACATATATATCACACCAAACACCACACACCACACAGATGAAGGATTCACACATAACACACACCACACACACACACATATACCACATCAAACACACCACACACAGATGTAGGATTCACACACACCACACACAAATATAGACCACAGCAAACACACCACACACATGTATATGATTCATGCACCATACACACACACACACACACACATCATGCACAACACACATGCATATGCTTCACACATACATTCACACTGCACACACCACACACATATAAGACACATATAGCACACACATCAACACACACAAACATCATATCACCACACACAACACACATGTCCATACCACATCACACATATATACCATGTATACACAAAACACACTGCACACATGTACCACACAGGCATGCAAGGACACAAACACACCACAGCTTCACGCAGGAGGCCCCCCAAGGGAATTTCCAAGAGGAAAACACTTTCCCTGACTCCCTCCCTGCTCCCCCTGGGTGCCTCCGCCACCCCCCCCCAGGTGCCCCAACACCAGGACAGGTTAAAGCTGTCTTCTCTAAGCCCACCCTGGCCCCCAGACAAGCTGGGACAAGTGGTGTGTTTGGGAGATTCCAGAGAGGAGGGAGGGGACGGGGACCCAGTGCTGGCAGAGTGGCATGTGGAAGGCCCTGTATGTCCATGGTCATGTATGTCCTCACAGACCCGCCCCACTGCTTGGGTTCTCTGCAGGGCAGAGTCCAGGTCTCCTGTCGTGCAGATTCAGGGGGACAAGGTGGGCTCAGCCTGGATCTGCACAAGCCCTTGGTCCTCACAGAGCCTGCTGGGATTCAGCCCTTGTCCGCACATGCCAAGGGGGGCACGGGCATTCCCATCTCAAGTGGGGTGTGGGCGGGAAGAATGGGAGCCCTACCCCACATGCCTTTTGGGCAAACATCAACTGTGCTGTGTGGGAACAGGTTGTCTTGACGACAGGGGGACTCCCCCAAATTGTGCTGGTGTTGGAAAGGTCCCCCCTGAATTAGGATACTGAAGTCAGGGTGAAGAGTCTTCAGGAAAAAGGAGTATTGGTGCAAAACTGGAAAGGTGAAGGGAGTATGGAGAGAGGCTGGGGCTGCTAGGGAAGAGCAGCTGAGCAGGGTGAGTAGGGTGAAGTGCCTTCATGGGCCTGAATGTGTCCCCCCAGATTTGCATCCCTCAGAGTCTCTGACTATGCCTTTGTTTGGGACTAAGGTCTTTGCAGATGTGATTACTAAGATGAGGCAGCAGAGTGGAGAAAATGCTGAGACAGTGAGATGGTGGCAGGGGCTGAGGAAAGCATCCTGGAGCCTCCAAACCAGGAAGGGTCCTCCCGCAGAACATGCCCCGCTCACACCTGCATTCAGACCCGCAGACTCCGGTGTTGGAACACTGCCCCAGGACCTCCCCCAGAGCAGCAGGGTGAGGGGCACATGGGGGGTGACCTAGAAGATGAGGGATTGCACTTCTGTCCCCGCTGAGCCCTGTTTTACAGAGACCCTGAAGCCTCGCCCTCCAGGTCTGACATGTAACTGGCCTCCCTAAGAAGAGCGTCTGAGACCCCAGCAGGCGGAGCCCACCTCCAGGCACGCTCGCTCACCTTACTCCTGATCTTGACACGCTGATACAGGTGCTCGGGGAAAGGCTTCCGGGGGATGAAGCGGCCCATGCCCTTGCTGACGTTCATGCTGCCATCCTCAAAGACAACCTTGCCCTGGCTGATGACCACCAGTGGGGAGCCGTGGCACTCCATGCCTTCAAAGATGTTGTACTCCACAGCCTGCGGCAGAGACCCAAGCTCCGGTTTTTGTTGTTTAAACACCTTTTATGTGGTAGATGTGGATGCAATAAAGCAGTGGCCATTTTAAATGCCTTCCATGGACCATTCAAGGAGCTCTGGTAGCGTGATGGCTATGAGTAAGACTGCTAACCTCAAGGTCAGCAGTTCAAAACTACCAGCTGCTCCATGGGAGAAAGATAAGGCTGTCTGCTCCCATAAAGATTTACAGCCTCAGAAACTCTGTACAGGGTCGCTATGGGTCGGAACCGACTCCACGGGCTCCCCCTGCCCCATGCACCACTCAGTGCATGGATTGTGTTCAAGTTGTATAACCACGACTGCTCTCTGCTCCCAAACGGTTCATCACTTGTACGGCTCAGTGCTTCGTAAGCAGCAAATGCCCTTTGCTCCCTCCCAGTTGCTCCTGGTTGTGGTTGTTGCTGTTGTTAGGTGTCGTCAAGTTGATTCCAATTCATGGAGGAGATCTATGTACAGCAGAGGAAAGCTCTGCCCAGACCTCCATCCTTCTCACAATCACTGCAAAGCTTGAGCCCATTGAGGAAGTCACGGGAACTCCAACTTGCTAGGAATCTTCCTCTTTTTCACTGACGCTCTACTTAACCAAGTATGACGTCCTTCTCCAGGGACTGGTCCTTGTTGACAACATATCCAAAGTATGTGAGAAAGTTTCATCTTTCTTACTTCCAAGGAGCATTCTGGTTGTCTAAGACAGATTCACTCGTTCTTCTGAAACTCTATGGTACTTTCCATGTTCTGGGCCAACACTGTAACTCAAATGCATCAAGTCGTCTCTGCTCTTCCTTATTCATTGTCCAGTTTTCACATGTATATGAGGCAATTCAAAATACCCTGGTTTGGGTCAGGAACACCTTAGTCCTCAAAATGTTGTCTTTGCTCTTGAACACTTTAAAAGGTCTTGTGCAGCACATTTTCACAATGCAGTATGTCCTTTGAGTTCTTGACTGCGGGCGACTTCCATGGTTGTTGATTATGGATCCAAGTAAAATGAAATCCTTGATAATGTCAATCTTTTCTCGATTTATCTAGTTGCTGATTGACGTAGTTGCAAGGATTTTTATTTCTTTAATGGAGATAAATTAACAATATTTCTTGTTGCTCCATTTTGTTTGTTTAGGTGGTGTGGCACTGTAGGATAAGCACTGGATAAGGTCACTGGCTCAAACCCACCAGCCACTCTTCAGAAATCCTATATAGGGGTCGCTATGAGTCGGAACCAACTTGATAGCACTTCACAACAAGTTTTGTTTATTCATGTATACCATACAGCACTGCCCACCATTTTGTAGATTTTAAGCAATGTATTTTGTCATTTAGTAAATGCTTCTGTTTTTTATTTTCATTTTATCCTTTTTGCCCTTGTGTTGATACACACGCATATTGTGAACGTTTTTCAGCGTGCTTTGTTTGAACACATCTTGGATTCTGTCATCTCTACTGGACACTCTGACTGGCATAGCCAGTTCCTCACCCCCTGGGCATTAATGCTGCTGCGGCTTGTGTTTTCTGGGTGTGACAGCTGTGAATGATGCCTCTGGAGCACAATATGGCTGCCCGCATGGCTGTGGGGTCCTGGGGTGGTGCTGTAGGACAGGCGCTGGACTACAAGGTCAGTTTGAAATGCAAGGTCAGTGTTTCAGACTCAACAGTTACCTCTTGGAATCCCTATACGGATTGCTATGTGTCGGAACCGACCAATGGCACTTAACGACAACAATGGTTATGGACACTATTGTGCTTCTGAAAAATAATGAATAATTTTCCTTTAGGAACAGTTTTCTAAAATTAAGTTACAAGGCAAAAGGATCTGAAGTTTGCAATGGGCAGGAGGAACAGTTCAGGTCTGTTCCCTCCAGCATGGGGAATAGCATTGTTTTGTTGATTTGAAAGTCAGAACATTTCTTTAACAACATGCGCTGCTTTCATTTCTCCTGAAGTGGATGCTTGACTCTGTTAACTACCATAATCAATGGTTTGCTGTTGTTCATGGCCATCAAGCCAATTTGGCTCACGTGGACTCCGTGTGCGCAGTACAGAAGTAGCCCTTGGGGTTTCAATGACTATGGATGTGCAAAGTGGATCGCAAGGTACCTCTGGGAGCGTTTGCATCACCAGCCTTTTCACTCGTTTGCTAAGCCTCCCAGCCACGCCAATCATTTGCCTACTACTTATTACCTTAAAATTCTGCCAGGTACATGGCATAAAAACTCATACGATATGAAAGGCATTCCATAAAAAGGAAGTTTCTCCTCTTGCTCGGACTGAGGCAGAGGCCTGAATAGATGTGTGTCTGAGATGTTGTGTGGGTGAACAGATACCTGCCGTCACCTGTGTGCCCACACTTTCCCCTTGTGTTCCCTCACTCAGAGTTTGTTCCTCCCTGCACAGGTGCCCTGCTGTATCCTGTCTCCATCATAGGGTAGGTACCATTTACTCACCCAGATCCCCGTAATAAACAACTGTTTCCCTGACTTTGTCAAAGGGGATACGGACACGCTCTCCTATATGCTTCCTCGGCACAGGTGAACAGATTCTTAGATGTGAACTCCAACCAGCTCCAACAGATTGGTCCTCACAAACGGGGGCTCCAATTTCCATCCTCACATCCCTCCTGCAGCTGTTTGCCCTCCCCTGGCCTCTCCTGCCTGTCTCTGTCCACTTCTGCTTTCCCTGTCCATCTATGTCCACCTCTGTCCTCCCCTGCCTGTCTCTGTCCATCCCTGCCCTCCCCTGCCCATCTCTGTCCACTTCTTTCCTCCCCTGTCCATCTCTGTTCGCTTCCCATATCTGTCCACCTTTGCCTTCCCCTGTCCTCCCCTGCCCATCTCTGTCCACCTCTTTCCTCCCCTGCCCATCTCTGTCCACCTCTGCCCTCCCCTGTCTTCCCCTGCCCATCTCTGTCCACCTTTCTTCCCCTGCCTGTCTCTGTCCACCCCTGCCCTCACCTGCCCATCTCTGTCCACCTCTTTCCTCCCCTGTCCATCTCTGTCCTCTGCCCATACCTGTCCACCTCTGCCCTCCCCTGCCTGTCTCTGTTCACCCCTGTCCATCTCTGTCCACCTCTTTCTTCCCCTGTTCATCTCTGTCCACCTCTGCCCTCCCCTGTCCTCTCCTGCCCGCATCTGTCCACCTCTTTCCTCCTCTGTCCATCTCTGTCCTTGCCCTACCTTCCTCTGTCCTCTGTCCTCTGCCTGCCTTTCAGGCTGACAAACTCCTGCTCTTGGCCCCCGAGGCAGATGAGGACAACATCTTGCTGCTGCTGTTACTTGCATTTGTTTCATTGTGAGCAGGACTGAGTGTCTTTTTAAATGAACATAAACATTTCTGATTGTGTAACTGTATATGTTTTTGTGCACTGTTTTATTTATCAGGCCTTTGGTAATTTTTAAAATACTGATTTATAAAGGCATGTCAATTTACCCATTTTTCTTGTGTACTTTAAAATCATCTCCAGTTTGTCTTCTGGGTTGATCTCAGAAAGCTTTGATGTAGAAAGCTTTTGTTTGCTTGTTTTTCCATGCAGTTTTCTTTTATTTGTTTAATTTTTATATAGTCATTGGCCAGATAGACCAATCGGTTCCTTTATGGTTTCTAAGTTTTGTGTCTTGCTTAGAAAGGGCTTCCCCTCTTCAATATCATTATTCTGAAAAAGTCTGGTTTATTCTAGTTCTTCTGGTGTTGTATTCATATTTTGGATCTTTGATGCACTTTCAATTTATTTTGGAGGAAGACTCATTAACAACCATTGATATGCAGATGATCCAACCTTGCCTGCTGAAAGTGAAGAGAACTTGAAATACTTACTGATGAAGCTCAAAGACCACAGCCTTCAGTACGGATTGCACCTCAATGTGAAGAAAACAAAACTCCTCATCACTGGACCCATAAATAACATGATGGCAAATGGAGAAAAGACGGCAGTTGTCGAAGACTTCATTTTGCTTAGATCCACCATCAACACGGAAGCAGCAGTCAAGAAATCAAATGATGTATTGCATTAGGTAAACCTGCTGCACAAGAGCTCTTCAAGGAAGTTTGAGGATGAAAGTGTGCCTGAGCCAAGGCAGTTTTCAGTAGCCGTTTGAACCACAAAGTTGGTGGTTCAAGTTCATGCAGCTTCTCCTAGGAAACCCTATGCAGAGTTGCTATGAGTCAGAACAGACTCAATGGCACTTAACAACTACAACTTATGCATGTGAAAGTTGGACAATGCATCAAGAAGACCATAGAAGAATTGACTGATATGGTGTTAGAGAAGAATATTCAAGGTACCATAGACTACCAGAAGAACAAACACATCTGTGTCGGAAGAGCTAAAACCAGAATGTTCCTAAGAAGCCAGGATGGTGAGACTTTGTCTCTCATACTTTGGACATACTATCAGGAGAGACCAGTCCCTGGAGAAGGACAGCACAGTTGGTAATGTGGAGGGTCAGCCAAAAAGAGGGAGAACGCCAACGAGATGGATTGGCACAGTGGCAGCAGCAATGGACTCGAGTGTAGCAGCAACTGGGAGGATGGTGCAGGATTGGGCAGGGTTTCGTTCTATTGCGTGTAAGGTGGCTATGGGTGGGAACTGGCTCAATGACACATAACAACAAACACAACAAAGAGTACAACAGAGAACTAGCGTTGGGAGGCAGGTGCTCCCAACAACCGCTGGGATAAGCTACCTTTTCTAACTCATTTATCCGTCGCCTTTCCTGTAAAACCCAGTCCCACAATTTGCCACCAGATTTTTTGACTCCCTTGTCTCTTGCACGAACGCCACACACTTTAGTTACCGCAGTTTTATCATATGTTTGAGTAACTGGAACAAAGGCTGATTATTCCTTCATTTTCCCCTTTTTTCCAGACATGTTTTGGCTAGTCTCACATTTACCTTTTAGGAAATATGCTGTTCTCATTGGATTATTTGTTGGCATTACTTCAAACGTATACATCAAATTAGAAAGAATCAATAGTTTCACGAAATGGAATCTTTTAGCAAAAATCTCCTTACATTTCTTATACCTTCTTTAGTTTCTAAACTTTTATTGCTATTGTAAATAAGACTTTGACTTTTATTTTTCAAAGTGGGTTTTCACGATTTTCTAGAAAATTGACCAGTGTTTTACACTGATGTGTAATTGTTAAGTGCATTCTTCTGTCATTGAAGGTTTTCAGGGACGCCCACAAGGGCTTCAGGGACACCCTCAAGACTCTGAAGGACACCCTCAGGGCTTCAG